GGCTTCACTCATATCCTGATTCTAGGGGACTTCAATCTCCATAGAGCCAACTTCGCGGAACATACGTATACTGGAGGTGAAAATTCAATTGAAGCTCGGTTCTTCAACCTCATTGAGGATTTGGGATTATATTAAAATGTGAAGTCGGCTACTCGTTGGAGGAACAGTCAGACACCGTCGCGCTTAGACTGTGTTTTTACAAATGAAGAACTTCTAGTCGACAACCTCTCAATTCTGGCTCCCCTGAGGAAAAGTGATCACGCCGTTATAGCCTTCAGTTTCGTCAGCAAAACCGAGCTAAGATATCCCAACAACAATAGGCGCTGGAATTTCAAACGGTTGAATGTGTAAGCTCTACAGGACTATCTACAACAGATAGATTGGGACGTTCACCCCCAACTCGATGTGGATGCTCACTGGGACTTCGTACTGCGCACTCTCTTATGTGCTACAAAGCAGTCAGTCCCTCGAACGGTCCCCAAAAGCCACATGCAACCTACAATCATCAAAAACCGCACTCTTCGTTTGTTAAGCCGTAAAAGGCACTGTTGGGCAGAATACAAACGAACTGACTACAACAGAGCGTACAGGCAATACATATGCAACATATGCACGAAGGCTATAAGAGAAGACAGGCTTCAGTACCAGTTGAAGCTTATTCCGTTAGGCAGCTTCTCTTCGTCAAGCCAAAACTGGAGTATCTCAACTGCTAGGTCCTAACGGCCCGACCGATAATGACGGTGACGCCTCTAACCTTCTGGTTGAGCGATACTCCCGGACATTTCGACCGTCCCACATCAATTATACTGATGACGTCTCTATCTGCAACTGCACAGGACTTTCCGTAGTGAACCTGAACGCTGACTTGGTGTTCCGAAAACTGCAGCATCTAAGAACAGACACTTCTCCTGGTCCAGATATGGTCCACTCTGTTATACTGAGGGAAGCAGCTTCAATCCTGGCAACACCGCTTAGCGTGATGTTCTCACACTCGCTAAGTCAAGGCAAGCTACCGGATATTTGGAAGCTGGCTCATATCACACCAATCTTCAAGGGAGGTCAACGCAGCGAACCTTCAAGTTACCGACCGGTGGATCTTCTCTCCATACCTTCAAAAATCATGGAGTCCCTGATATATGATTGTATACACGACTATCTGCTGTCCTTAAACTTCTTCTCACCTCAGCAGCATGGTTTCGGGAAGGGTTACTCCTGTATGACGAACATGCTGACTGCGGTGGACAGATGGACAAGCATCGTTGATCACAAGGGGATGGTGGATATCATTTACCTTAATTTCTCTAAAGCTTTTGATAGGGTTAACCACATATGTCTTATCAATAAGCTCAAACAATTGGGGATCAAACCACCTTTAATTATCTGGCTCAGTTCATACCTGACAAATCGACATTTTAAGGTCACGTTAAACTTCAATTTATCACAGGCTATGGAATGTCCTAGTGGGGTCTCCCAGGACTCAGTACTAGGACCTCTTCTCTTCCTGATTTATATAAATAATCTTCGTCAACAGGTAATGTCAGACATGTTGCTCTTTGCCGATGACGTGAAACTTTGGGGAGAGATACGCAACCAAGAGGATATACAGGCACTTCACGAGGATCTGACTCGACTTCAAATTTGGACAGACGATAACCCACTTACCTTTAGCACTTCGAAATGTAAAGTAGTCCATTTGCGACACGTCGCAGATTACAGTTACAACTTAGAAAACTCCTCTCTAGTAGTATCCCGAGTCGAAAAAGATTTAGGAGTTCTGGTGCCCCACGACTTAAAGTCTTACGCCAACTGTGACAGAAATGCCTTTCGAGCAAACCTGGCACTGGTAACATTGAAGCGCATTTTTGGTCAGTTTGACGGGAGAACTTTCCACCTAATCTTCAATAGTTTCATTCGTCCCCATTTAGAGTACGGAAACATAGTATTCCCTCCTACACTCCAAAAGGATAAGGACACTCTGGAGCGTATCCAACGGCGAGCCACGAAATCAGTTCGGGGACTCAATTATAAACCTTACGATGAGCGCCTCCAATCACTCGACCTTTACCCATTAGAGTATAGGCGTCTTAGAGATGACCTTCTATTGGCTTACAGTATCCTTAACACTCCTGGACATCCTCTTAAACACCTACTTAAGCTTAGTCCCAACACTAACCTAAGGTGTAACACACAGAAATTAGAGATAAAACATAGTAGAACGGACTGCAGGCACAACTTCTACCCCTTAAGAGTTGTCAAATGCCGGAATTCGCTGCCGGCTGAGCTAGTCCAAGCAACTTCCTAGGAGTCCTTTAAGAGGCGACTTGATCTATTCTTAAGGACTAAGGATAGTATCTTACTATGATTTACCAATTCATTTTTTTCTCTTTTATCGTTAATATACCTAAGTTCTTGCCTGGAGGTATTGGTGATCCCCTGCTACTAGACACGGAAGCCTGTTAAGCGAAAGCTTCTTCTATTCCGTCCACAACCATTTGAACAAATTGTTAAAAGGTACATTTGCACTAGCTTTATTCCAGAACATTAGAGATCGCATCAAATATGACCTGCGAAGCTCCTCGTCTCTCTTGGATTTAGTCTTTGCACAGGATAATGATGTCGATCAAATGATTTTCCTCCCACCGCTGGAGAGAAGTGATCATGCAGTCATCTTATTCAACTTCATGTCTGAGATTGCCCGTCAAACGGTTGTACCGGCTCGTTCTAACATATGGAAGGCAAACATGAAGGAAACCAACTCTGAAGCATCGGCTAAAAGATGGATAATTGACTCAGGGGCATCAGTAGAAGAGACATAGACTTATTCTAAGCAGTTATACATTCAGATAACTCAACCGCTTATACTCTGAACAGTTCTAAAGAAGAAGCTCGGTCACTCTTGGACAGACCGGTATATTTGACATTTGCCAAGACAAAAGAAGAAATGTTGGAATCTTGCCATCAGCCTTGGCACAGGAAGTAAGATGGAACGCTACAGGCCGAAAAAAATAACTGTACAACTACAATCTGGGAAGCTCAGAGAAAATATGAAATTCAGTAAGCAAAATCTGCAGCTAACCAGCCTAAGAGACCGTACCCGTACATAAATTACAGAACAAGGATGTAGCATTGGATTCACAACCTAATTAGAGGAGGGAGTAGATATGAAATGGTGAAGAGGATCAGGAAACATCAGAGGCTATGGAAAATTATTTCGGGGCAGTTTTCACTCATGAGCCTCTTCCAGACGAAAAACTAGACCCAAATACCAAGTCAACAAACCGCCTGCTCACTGTGAACTTTGAGCGAGACGATGTACTTAAGGCCCTTAACACTTTAGACATGGAAAAATCAACAGGATCAGATGAACTACACCCCAAAACCTCGAGATAAATAGCATAATATATTGCAGCCCCACTGACTGTGATATTCAATGTGTTATCTGGCTAAGGTGTGTTACCTACGGACCGGAAGGATTCAGTTGTCACACCATTACATAAAATAATTTGATCTTGCCTGTAAACTGGCATGCCTCGTGTAACTAACTGTTATTTGGGAATAAATTATGATCATTATTATAAAACAGGACCAAGACAACTTCCATCAAATTACAGATCTGTCAGCTTCACCAGTGTTGTAGTTGAAATACTGGAAAGAATAATCAAAACGACCATGGTGTCATTCGTGTGGATCGAACCTGTTAAACAATGAACAACATGTTTTCAGAAAAGGTTTACATTACACAACGAACCTCCTTATAGCAAGGAAGCGATAAACAAAGGCTCTAGACAGCGAAAATCAATGAATGTCGTCTACATAAACCTCTGCAAAGCGTGCGACTAGGTGCCGACAAATGGTCTGCTTTCAAAGCTGGGAAATCATGGCATTTTCGGACCTCTCCTAAAATGGCTTAAGGATTTCATAGTAGGTTGTAGACGGAAAGTAAGAGTAAATCCCAACTGCTCCACCCGGAGACCAGTACTTAATGGAGTACCTCAAGTTTCTGTCCTAGGTCCCTTACTTTTTATACTGCATGCAAATGAACTCCCAAATATAGTTGAGTCCCTAATGCTGCCACACGATGATGATGTAAAAATCTGGTGAAAATTAAGAGGAGACGCATATGTAAACACATGTAGCGTGGTGTCGAGTTGAGCTTGACTATGAACACCGCTACAAGACTACGTGCCAATAGACCAATAAGATCCCCGTAGGCCAATATCAGAAGATAGATGATGGCTGTAGTCAAGATGTATTTGTTGGCGATCTCGTGGTATCAAAAGAATACCGAGATCGTGCCAAAGTAGTACAAGCGTGGTTACTGAGCGTAACCGAATTCGTACAAGTTCAAAGTCAACGGGAGAGTAAGTAAGTATAATGGCTGTCATTAGCACAGTTAAACAAACGAGCACAGTAAAACAGTCACTGGTACAATTGGTTATAATAATAATTGTTTTCAGTGAACCAATCGCGTTCTGTTGACAAAAGTAGGTCACTACACACACTTCAGACAGACTTAAAAATTGTGATTAGCTGTTCCAAAGAGTAGCTGATGCTTATCAAAGCGGCAAAGTGTGTCTACATGCATTTTAGAGATACAAAGGTACATAGGTACAGCATAGGCGAGGTACTTGTACCAATTGCCCGGTTTCACAAGAATCTTGGGGTGACAGTGAGTTATGAACATGCTACTCGAAGAAGTGGTGTCCTCACCTTCAATTGGCCCATTCAGGAGAGAACTATACACTCACAGAAGCATACATGGAAAGGAATAATACATGCCCTAGGCCTTCTGTCTTTACTACCCAAATCCGAATCTGAGTATGAATCTGTATCCTGGACCTATTAACCCCTTACTTAACTGTCAGGTCCAGAGAAGTTGATCCAACAGACTGACTAGAATATACAATGGATAGTAACAGAGACTTAGAATCGTACCATAACATCCAGAAAAGAGAGTAAGCAAACCACGTGGTCATATAGATATTGGACATTAAGATTGCCTTATCACGGCCTTGAGCGTATGACATTTCCGAAGGCTGTTTTCTTCGGAGATTCTCTAACCCAGGTGGCGATGGTTTGCTTTTTTATTTATCCTCTGAAGTAGTAATAATGTGACTCATGTACACATCACCCGTCAAAATCAGTTGAAATATTCACATTGCCAATATCTTGGAACCGTATCTTAATACCACCCAATCTTGCAAGATTGGGAAGCCGCTATAGAAAAATTTGGGCAAATGGCACCAAAATTTCCCCTAAACCTTGGGAAATGTCATTTGACCTTAGGGACTTCCCCGAACTTGGGAGTTTATCAATAACAATCTGTGGGCTTTAGGTTTGTCTAATGAGAGCCCGTCTGGGGCCGCTGCCGGTCTCAAGTACGGATAAAGGAGGAGGGTTTGGTATTGGGTTTGCGACCCCATCTCGTAGAAAACGCTAACAAGAAAAAATTATTCAAATTACTTGAATGAGATCCCGAGCTCCCAATTTCGGGGAAAGTTTGACACGCTTTGGGAAGCCGCTGTAGTAAACTTAGGGGAAATGGAACGAAAACCCAGAAATTTCCTCAGATCTCGGGAAGTTTCCAAATATTTCCCTTTAACCTTGTTTAGGGTCATTTGACTTTGGGGATTTCCCCTAAATTTGAGGTTTTTCCCCATACTTTGGTGAAAGTCATTTGACTTTGAAGGTTTCCCCAAACTTGGGAGATTAGGAGCTTGGAGTTAGGTAGCTAATGTATCATACTAGTGACCCTGTCAAAGTCGAACACCAATTGTTAGCTCCTTAGCCTAAATTTCACAGGTGTCATGTTAAAAGTTCATATCTACATGAAGGTCGTTCGGCATTGACCAACGTCGAATATGTTTATTGTCGCAAATATGCCTTAATGAACTGGTCCATTATCGTGTTAACTTGTTTTTCAGCTCCGAAACGGCCCCTAATTGTTTGCTAACCCGCATTACCGTTATAAACTGCCCGGAGCTGTGATGAGACGATTCGACAAAACCCAGTATTATTGCAATTGTGCTTCCACCGTATATAGGCAGGTCATATATGCCTCTCAAAATAAAAACTTGAATCCCAAACGTCTTGATCAAGAACATCAGCAATCATGTTATGCATACAAGATTTTGTACTTATTTCATACCTCGATCTCAAACAAACACATCGTCTAAACTTTAAAAACTCCGTTATGCCTTAGTCCTGAATGGATTAGTTTACTTATTTTTACCCCCCTAAATAGAACAAAATCTTACTGTAGACTAAGTGTCTTACAAAGAGATAATCCAATCAAACAGGTGATAATATTGAGAACCTTACTTGGCCGTAGGTGCAGCTTTAATACGATAATCAGTTTCGCATATCGTGATGACCCAGTCAAACAATATTTGCTAACATATTTGTTACTATGGATCGTATCATAGCATCCTAGTTAGTTGTAGGGTGGTAACACTAAAAGCCGCAAGTTCAAAGCCATAGTTCGTACTACCGACTGCCCACGAGTGTGACTGCAGTAAGATGTCTCCCCCAAACAACATGGATATTTAGCAATGTCACCTCACGACAGGTAGAAAGTAAGACGTCTGTTCTGAAAATGCCGAATCTCACTGTGCACCACGAACTTCCATCTCCGGTTTGAAAAGTATGGAGCTAACGCTAGAAACTAAAAACGAAAACGTCGTATGTGGCCAGGCTCAAGTAGTCTTTAAGATCACTACTAATTCATCCCCTCTTGCGGCACTTTGGGAAGTGTCCTCAAAGTGTAGGCAACTGCCATCATACTTCTAACATCACTCAAGATCACCTCAACATTTCTATTTTTAACCGTCATCTTCGGATTCATCCATACTTACTACTAATGCTAACGATTCGAGTTCGCGAAATTCTATCCTAGCATGATAATTAAAAGTAGTCGAATTTATGTGTTCCCAGAATAGTCTTACTTAGGGTAAATAAAACTCGTTGAGTATAACTGAACCTATTATATTTGAAATTCGAATTAGCCGTAAAATCAAGTACAAGGGAATCATCAAGTAGTACAGATACCACGCTTAAGTTCTCCAAAACCCCGTTCCGAACTACATGTTGGAGCTCTCAATGCATGAACCCTGTTAATTCCGGCAACATATGTCACTAGCTAAGATCTCATACCGTCAATATAAACTGTTTCCCAAACACCCATGCAGGATCGCAACGTGGTCAACTACTTGACCTCAAGTAGTCAGTATCCGGAGCCAAAGGAATATACCCTTCTAGTATCTGGAGACGTGACCACAATTCCTCGTGGTCTAGTATGTGCAGGTATAACACTAGGTTCTACATTAGAACGAGTACCTCTTGACTGGATTCTTGTCGATAGTCGCTTATATGCCGTACGACCAAGTGAAAAATTTAGAACTCTGAAGGTTAGGGACACACTGTTGGCTTTTTGTCGTTGCTGTCTGTACGCAACTAAGTGAAGCTCGGACGAAGTGACCGATAAGTTTTACAACGATTAGGTTTAGAAATCGGTTAGTCATGGAAAGTAATTCTCTATTTATTTACTCAACTTTTTAATGGGTTAAATCATTGTTTTTCAGTGGTCATGTATTAGCTATGCACATAAGATATATGTACCACATATTAGGCCATTTCTGGTGACAGTAAAAGCTCTTATAATGGACAGCACTTCATCTCTGTTGTATGGGTCAGTGCGACCGCTATAAAAGTGGTTGTCGCCTGGCAATAACAGATATTAGACCCTTATAAGTGCTTTCAAGTGTCACCCTGACTTGAATGAAATATAACTCCATTACTATATTGTTTCAAATGTTTTGAATAAATGTTGTTACAAATCTTTCTGGGAAAATATCGTAAAGACATTACCGCCTAAATTATTTTCTTTACAAGTAATCGAACCACTTCCGTATCAATTTTGCAGAAAAAAAGAGTTTTGTTGCGGTTCCTAAACCATTTGCTACAGTTTACTCTTGGATTGTTTAGATTACAGTTGTGTCGACATAAGTAGCATATGACACTAACCACAAGTGAAATGCCTGGCAGCAGAAGGTTGAACAGATCAAATTGAAGAGAACAGAAATGCAAACGGAGAGTAATTGTAATAATAACAGGAATTGAAGAACCATTAAGTTTGTAGGAGAAAATTGATGGGAGATGTGCAAATGAAGTATTTATTGTAAGGTTTTCATATTTTACGAAGGCATTCTGTAATTTGTATTAAACAATAAATTGGCTTTCTCCGTCTGAATTCTCGTTCACTACATAATGTTTTAAAGATCGAGTCTTGATGTTACTGCAACGTGATGTAATGCTCTTTAAGCAAATCCGTAATGTAGGGTAAATGATACATTCGCATTGGGGAAAGGAAATAAGTTTATAACGAAATACCGTAAGCGCTGCGTAAGCAAGTGTTCAAACTATGAATTGAAATATTCTGCTTCTGGATATTGTGGAATTCCTATCGCAACGTGCCTTTACTGCCTTGAATGTGCCACCCTATGTTTGTTGTAGTTAATGAGTTATTTTATCTCATGACTTCCTGATTGTGTTCATTTTGTTTCAGTTTGGTTGGACTCATGAAGGCGGCTGGCTATCTATCCTGGCATCAACTTTTGTCAGGTAGGTTGTGTATATTTAATCACTGACTTTTGCCCTTACAGTCCTAATATGCAATTATATTCACTAACTGTAAGAAAATCGACTGTGGTTTATCTAGAGCGACGATCATTTAAATATCGCATGTGGTCATTACAATTTTTGGTTGATTTGCAAGTTAACTTTGGTAACTTTTTAAGAACCACCAAATAGTACACGTTTGTTTGCAATATCGTGTCTGCGATTTCTTATTAAAGTTTAGGTCGATTCCTCATCAGTTGATTTGTCATATTGAGTAGTGGATTGGTAGTAAATCCTATGACCAAAAATTGTTCTAAATTCAAAAAAGCTAAGGTTACTCGAAGTCAGTTACATTGATGCAGATGTATTCATTATTTATCTTTCAAATCTAAAACCTGGTACTTCATACTCCATTAATTTTCCTTTTCTAATTCCGTTAACATCGAGTTTCTTCCATTCATATTGTTTTTTACACACTCATATGCAAGTTCCTTTACTTGGATATGTTTATTTGTGACCGATTTAAAAGGTGGTTGTATAATCAATCATTTGAATGGAGTTGTTCTGTATGCTAAGATGCGTTTCTCCCTTTTCAACAGTACTTAGCTCAGTTTAATATGACCTGTGTAATACCAAAGATAATATCCTCAATTATATGAAGCAATATCTATGTGAATAAAGGACTAAATTGAAAACCATTAGATTCCAGGTTCGTACTACGTCCTATCTACTTTGAATTGATCAGATGGGTAGTCTGTTTTTCCCAGCAATGTAGACTTCAACTGAGTGTTGGATCTCGCATTCGGTTAGTATCGTGAATTATTACTACCATATTTATATCATTAATGTGAAAACTCGTGATGTTTATTCTATGGTTATAAAATAAATAAACTGAAGTTAAACATCCAATTTACGCCACTTAAACCTAAAAAAATTCACCCGAGTTAATACGTAATTCTAAATTGTAGGCACATAGATCTAACTCAGTAACCAAGTAGATATCCGTCTATCGCACTATAAATCAAAAATAATTTGCAGGACTTAATGCCTGGAATTAATTTGAACGTCCCAATCCAGTGGTCAAAACTTAAATGCTTACATCACTATAAAATCACATCAAACAGGGATACGAAAAGTCAAATCCAAGGACAATTAATTAGCAAATCGTAGCTGGAAATCATGTTTTTTTCTTCGGAAATCCCTTATCACTCAAAATAGGGGTTATGTGAGCTAGTTTTGATAAAGAACGAATTATGAGAAAGTAAATTAAATCAGTCAGCAACACTTAAATCATACCGATAATTAATTACTAACTAGATTTGTTATTAATTTCAGGAAGATAGATATTGTTGGAAGAGGCTATTCTGGTTATAACACTCGTTTGTGCAAACCATTACTTCCAATCCTCTACCCAAATAAGGACTCACTAAAGGATTGTAAATTTTTCACTATTTTTCTCGGAGCTAATGATGCTTGTGTCACTCCACAACAGCATGTACCAGTTGAAGAATATAAAAGTAATCTAAGTTGGATGATTGAATATATTCATGTATGTTTAATGAGGTTTAATAAAGAATTGTGAAAGTAGTTTCTATTAGATTTTTTTAATGATTTGTGTGAAACCCATGAAGTAGGCTTTTGTAAACGGGTTTTTTGGATTATTAATTGGGTGGAAAAAATGTTAATCAATAGACTGTATACTTGATCGAGTGATGACTACTTACGAGACCAAATAATTGATGTAAGTCTCTAAAGGACTTAAGGTCGAAAACAAGCCTGAACAATAGACTTTCTATATAATAAAATATTTATATACAAAATCTTAGCACAAAAATAGCATGATAAAATGTCATAAGGGATTGGAAGAAGTCAATGTGCACATCACTCACCTTCAATTAGCATATCAGATAAGTGGACTATCGGTAACATTTTCGCTTACAGGAAATAAATATATATAACGAAAAGTTTCTTAACACATAGAATTGAGACCTTTTGATTTCAATTCACTCAGCTTAACTTAAAAACAAGAAGTGTTGCAACTTTGAGAGAAGAGTAAATGTCCTCAATTTCAAACATCTCTAAAACAGTAAATCACTGAATGCTGTCTCGCCAAGTGTAATTATTATTTGTCACTAACTTTTGTCCTCTAATCTGTTACTCAATTGATTTTCTTTCCAATAATAGAAGTTGGACGTGCCTATGGATCACATTTCACTAATCAGTTTACCTCCTATTGATGAGAATAAATGGGGTGCCATTGAAATAGCTAAAGGTGACTCAGAAATTTAGTTTTTATATTATATTGCATATATATATATATATATATATATATATATATATATATATATATTGGTTAAACTAAAAGTACTCCGTAAAACGGTCATCAAAACAAAGATAACGTACTGTATACACGAAAATGTCATAAAGAATACTTATCTTAAACTCCTGTATCTGTACCCATTAATTTGGTATCTCTCTCAACTGAATTTTAATAAAATTAACGTTGAAAGTCATTTGTATAAGGAATTTATACTTGGTTTTTTAGGAAGAGCAATTACACGAAGACTAGATACCTGTGCGACCTATGCAGTTGCATGTCAAGAGGTAGCCAAGGTCAATGAAGTTAGTTTTGTAAATTTATATGAAGCTATGTTAATGCAAAAGGTAAGTTCCTCTTCTAATAAATTCGGTGTTTTTGAATAATGGAAGCATAAATCTTTGCGTACACAATTTATAAAAAACTTTTCCGCAAATACGATATATCGATCATTGTCCCAAATAAGTTTTTGTTAAGTTGTATATTAGTGAATTGAAAGGCTACTCTGTGGGGACGCCCTGAATATTGGGCAACTGTGTCTGGACTACTTATGTTTACTGATCGAAGGTTACTGGTTGATTTTTGACGGCTCATCCTACTACTATCCGATCTTGTTTACGAAATAAGCAGACAGCTAATAAGTCATAGTAGGTTACAAGGGCTAAAGTATTCGACAAAACATATTGCATAACTAAAGTATTCTAGAACCCGCTCGAGGAATTTATCTCCACGACTTAGTTGCATAAAAACGGAATTACAGCAGACTGGATTAAGTATATAAGTGACATGTCTTTTAAAGGCTAAATTCAAGATTCACTAAAGGAAGTACTCACTAATCAAGACATTATTTGCGTTAGTGCTATTTTTAATCTTGAAGATGGTTTTTAACTCTCTTTATCTACTTTTAGTGTTACATGTTCAGCTAAAATAAAAAAACAGCTTGTCATTTAAAAAATTAGGTAGTAATGTGGTTTCAAGTCTTTAAATGTTATAAGCCATTAATCCTAACTTTTGGTGTTCTGATCAATGGCTTTTGCATGCTTATTCGGAAGCAAGACCCATTTTATTTGTCTAGATGTCAGCAAGTGTTTAACTTCGGTTATCTACATAATATATTCATTCAAAGATACCATTTTTATTATGTTATTTAGTTGTAAATCAAACTCTTCAAAAATTACATGGGTCTTTTCCTTTTCAGAATTGGGAGTCTTTTCTTTCAGACGGTTTACACTTTTCTAGAAAAGGATCTGAGTTTTTGGCAAGGATCTTAGAAGACTTACTTATGGATAAATTAGGTGACTTGAAGTGGTGGTTTCCGGATTGGAAAGTTATAAACCCGAACGACCCAGCGGAGTTTATCAGTCACTATCTTCAGTCCCAAATCTGATGTTTTCTGAGTGACGAAAGACTTCTACGTGGCTTCACTAACTATACTTATTTAGATACATTGTGATTGTTTCAATTGTCTTTATTTGTTAGTTCTTATGTAAAGATTTTACACTTATTTGGAATATAGATCAATGTAAATTTGAATGTTCTATTTCAATTAAGAATATGGTTACTGTCCCTATTACTTTAGGATTTGCCCTGACATTTTCATGGCGCTGTGTGGTATTTTGAATCAATGTACGCTGCTATGTGTGAAGATATTGCGAGTTCACCTAATCTTAGGGGGCTATGACGGAAGCCTTCGACCTATAAGTCTAACCCACAAGGCAGTGGAGCAACGTCGGAAGATGCAGTTCCATAGTAGCCGGCGATTGGCAGTTGGTTCATACGCCATTTGTTCCTTCCGCGTCCACCAGCCCGGTTAAAGCGCCGGGCATTTGCTTTTCTTCCTCTCGATTTTGTAAACAACACCCCCACCGCGATAAGGCAGTGAGTAGGACTTTCCTGACAATGGCTGTATACGCGTGGCCATATGAGAGCATTTCGAGAATGAGAGTCGACTCTCCCCACCCTAGGTCGCACCAGGACATTCAGGGGTGCAGTCCTTTACAAATACAATCTCACTCCTTATTGAACCATTCTTCTCGATGACTAATCTTCCTCACAATTATTGACACTACTACTTCATTGGCATTCATCTTTTTAATTTAATATGGCTGTGCTGATGTTTTATGAGAACTTACTGTTGCGACTTTGGCCCGGCTAATTATCACATAACTTATTTGCCAATCAGAATACGACTAAAACAATCTTAGCACTGTATTAAACCAATAACGTACCGACCAGTATGAACAGCCTAACATCCTTATTGGTCCTTTTCCCTCCTAGCTCTGCCAGTTGGGAACAGAACACCAATACTAGCTTCCACTGTACGAATCAATAATTTCAAACAGATCTTGTTTATATGCAAGCCAAACAGACCATATCACACCATAAAATAGAAAATAACATTTGTACAGGACCAAGCCAAAAAGTGGCTGTGATTGTGGGTGACGGTAAGTAATAAACTGAATATAATTTAAGAACAGTAAATCGTATCATAATAGCCTATAGGTCAAAACAAAGCCTATGGTAAGAGGAATATAGATACTGAATGGTTACACGAAAAAATTATAATATTGGTCCATTAATAGTTGTCAGAAGTTACCTATAATTTATTCTTCACCAGGATATAACACTTACGCAGACCCACATTTGTGCTAGGGTTTATGCTGAATATGACCTATTTTAACAAAATTATGTCCGTAAAGAACATTCCTACTACCTGTCAGCCATGTGAATGTTGATGTATTATAAGTCAGTCAGTAACAACGTGGGACTTCGTACATACATACATCAGTTCGAGTAGCCATACCACATTAGCACAGAGATTCAGTTATCGATTCAAATCCCGTAGTGGTAGAGGTAGTGAAAGTATAAGTAGTAATCGTGAACATTAGGATTTGATGATGTTATTTAAGGAGTATAATACAGTGGAATAGATTTGGAAAGAGAAAAAAGGGACATGAAGAATTCAGAAGATTAGAGTTTGAGAGAACACAGAGAGTGGATGCACCTGCGCCATTACAAACGATTTTTAGCCATGTCATTCAAGATCTCTAACCATCGGTTGCTGTCGTCTCGCAGATCCCAACCAGGTAGTCTACACCTACCAACATGACTCAGTCCACTTGTCAGTGACTTCATGGACTTGTGCTATGTTTTGGTCTGGTCGCCCCTAGCTTTCTTCCAACCTACTCCTACACCATAAAACATCACACGTCGGGGCAGTCGGTGGTCGGGCATGTGCAGCACATGTCCCAGCCATCTCGTCAACTGGAAATTGAGATTTGAAAAGTGTTATATTTAAAAGCACGTCAACGAAAAGTTAAACAAGAATAGAGAGAGTGGACAGCCCTGACGAACACCACGTGAGGTAATCAGTTCTGATGACAGCTCGCCATAAGCTCTTGTAGCGGTAAATAATCCCCCAAAATCAAATAGCTCTGTAAGTTTTCGACATTGGATGCTGACCACAGTTTTAGTGGACTCATCTAGCTGAAGGCGCTCGGTCAAGCATCCGCACCAGATCACATGTAGGAACGCCGTGCTCACCATCTGCCGCAATCGCTAGCCAGATTAGTGCAAACAATCCTCGATATATTGATAGCTTATCAAATATATCTTCGAACCTCCTCACTTCTGTCTTTTGATTTTACTTGGTGGGTGCGCTTCGTATTAGGTGTTACTGGTTAAAGCGTTGTCAAACTCCGAATACCTGTGGCATCTTCATTGGTGAGCCCGACGTGATCTGGTACACCATATTGTAAACTGTGAGTCTGTTCCTTTTTGTGATTCTAATTTTTTTTTTAACATTGTGATATTTTTTCCCCGTGTTTTTGGGTTTATATATATATTTCCCACTCGTTCACTTTTCATACTTGATATATTACTGTGACTGAACAGACCCCTAAAGTATTTAAGTTAAAGACTGTGTCCCCACCTTCTTTCCAACTTATGCCTTTCTGGCCAGACAACATCGAAGCCTGGTTTTGTTACGCAGAAGCCGACTTCTTCGAGCACGGTGTGAACGATACACGTACACAATTCCTTGCAGTAGTCAAGGCACTACCGCGCGAATTCAACAGGTACGTAACACCTAGTATGTTTACTAGTGATGTTTCTGATCCATACCAAACCCTGAAACATGCCATCCTTAAACGCGGAGATCTGACCGATCGACAAAGGTTAGACCAACTCCTCAACAACATCGACCTGCAACACGGTTCTGCCACAGACATGTTGCAAATAATGCGAGAAGTCATTGACCAAAGAACCTTCGATGACGGCCTATTCAAACAACTTTTCTTATCCAAACTTCCTCAACAGGTGCAAGCTGTTTTGATCTCGTTCCAAAACAACGCAGTAGACGAGCTAGCTGCATCTGCCGACCGCATTCTCGAAATCACTAGATCTTCTAACGCCGAGGTTTTTTCAGTCAAAGAAAAGCCTCAAACGACCCAGAAGGACATAACACAGTTATATCATACACTTACGCGTTATCTCAAACTCTGTAACAACCGTAAACGATCACTTACCCCGCGGAGAAGCATATCACGTAGGCGATCTGTATCTAGAACTCGAGAGACGGATAATCCTGATTGGTGCTGGTACCATAACCAGTACGGAAAGTTCGTTCTGGTCGAGGATGTATTGATCATATCTTCACCCTCCGTCAAGGGTTAGAACACCGCCATACTTATCAAAGGCCAACAATCGTAGTGTTTCTTGATATCAGGGCTGCCTTCGACTCGTTGGATAGAACTGTTCTCTGGGATTGTCTATTGAAGAAGGGTGTGCCTGAGAAGTTTATTAACATCCTAAAAGCTTTATACACAAACACCTCAGGCAGAGTGAGGGCATACAACCACCTTTCTCCACTATTCCATTCAAGCAGTGGGGTTAGGCAGGGTTGCTCAATCTCACCATTCCTCTTCAACTTTGCCATCGATGACATTCTGGAAACAGCTCCGATGGACGTAAGTAATGGTGGTGTGCATCTGTTGCCTGGAGAAAGACTTCTTGTTAAGTTTGCTTACATAGTTCCTACTCGTTTCCTTTCTACTCTTTTGTATATTGTTTTGTACTACTTATTTACATTCAGTAAGCAATTGTATTTCCAACAATTTTACACCTATGTTGTAACGCAAGTCGTATTGTATTATTCTGAATTATTCAAATATATTTATGACGTTTATTGTACTTATCATTGTATTTATCATTATAATTACTGTACCTTAATCACTGTAACGTTTAACCACAGTTTCGTGCATTTGTTTAAACGCAACAGTTTCCATATTGTTTTGCTCTTGGTTCGGGTTTCGGTTGTTCATAAACTGCTATCAAATTTAGACACAGCTGTCCTTTGTACTATCGTATGTTATAATTATTCTTTATGTTACTGTTACAGGAAGCCTTTTATCTTTATACTTGAAGGACGCGTTTAAACGCCACAGACACCTCACAAGTTGAGGTATGTAACTAAATTTTGTGTATTATTCAATAAAGAACCGCTATTATAGACAAATCGTTGTTTTGGAACATCGGTTTCGCGCGTATCTCAATCAGGTCAAGTAGACGCTTCGATAGAAGTAACAGTTCTCAACTTTGGTTCAAATCGCTCGATTAATTTGGCCCAATAATGACGAGAACAAGAAAAATGAAGTATAATGTCGTCAGCTCTGAAGATACGGATGATTCAAACGCCGAAAACTCTGTTCCTTCCTTTTCTAAGGTGAACTCACCTACTTCTTTAAATCTTGCTTTTGATAATGTTAAACTAAACCCCAATGATGGCTGTCCTCTAGTAGATACCTATGTAGAGACTGAATATAGAATAGAAGACAAAGATGTTTCTAGGGAAAAGGAGGTAGAGAAGATTGAATTGGAGATTCGAGAGCTTCAGCTTCGTAAACGATTGTTAGATTTAACAGCAAAACCTTCAAACAAAGTGATGAAATCGAGTGAAATTGCTGAGTTCTCTGGGACTCGATCCATAGACATAAAACCCGTAACTAAGGCAAGTCACCGATACACCAATACAACCATAGACGACGAGATGGAACCCAAAAGACACGTAGACAGTATAAGGTCATTATTTATGACAGTAGGTCTACCGAAGATAGAGATCAGGAAATTCGACGGAAGCCCTCTAAAATTTTGGACATTCATGAAGGAATTCAAAGTTAACATTGCTGACAGAGTTAACGATGACACTCAGCGATTAATGTATTTGATACACTATTGTGACGGTGTAGCAAAAGATGCCATCGAACCCTGCGTTTTGTTAGCAGAAGACAAAGGTTATACTGAAGCGGTTAATATTTTACATAAGCAATTTGGTAGACCGCACGACATCGTCGAAGCGTTTTTAACAGAACTATTAAACGGGTCACCAATAAACCAGGACGATGTGGCAGGGCTGCAGAAATTAACAAGACTCATGACCAACTGTAAATTAGCCTTGTCACAGATGGGACGAATTGCTGACCTGAATTGTTCGACCAACATAAAACGAATACTAAAACGATTGTCACGAAACAT